CATTTCCTGCTGCCCCCCCCCTCCTGCCTGTCCAGGGGCTGACTCCCGCTGCCGGGGCGGGAGTGGGAGGTGTGGGGAGAAATTCAAGGCCGCATTGGGACGTGGGGGGCGGGGGGGGGGGGGGATGCTGTCAGCTGAAACCTCAGCTCCCTTTCTGTCCACCTCCGGAAGTCCGAGAACATCTGAAGAATCCTGTTCAGCCCACCTCCTCTTAATTGCACCTCCTTCACCCCCACCCCCTTCTCTCTCCTTCCTTTCCTGTTGGTCCAAAGCTGAATAGGGGATCCGGACCCATCAGATACCAGCTGAAGACTTGTTAAATGAATGAATGAATAATGCCCATCATACTCCAGACACCACAGGCCTCGGATACCCTCAGTGCAGCTATCCTTTCTACTCCTCACCCCCCAACCATCCTTCCAAAGAGAAAAACCCATTTTCTGCCCCACGGAGATACAGGGTTGCTATGGGTGCAATGATGAGTCGCTTCTTTTATTGTCGCCTTCTTCACATTATTTGAAAATTCCTAGAAATTCTCACCTCTTCCAGGAAGCTTTCCGGGAATGATCACACTGAGTGCTGCTCTCCTTGGCTTTGCCCATTCTGCGTTGATGAGCCCTTATCCATGTCATGGGAAACTGCCTTCCTATTTCCCAATTAGCTAGCCCAACCCCAAACAGCAGTTAATTGCTCTTCTTTGGCTGTGGGGTGCATCATGGGGGGGGGGAGGAAGGAGGGCGGGGGACAGGGAATCCCAGGGACTCAGCTGACATATTCTTGAGTTTGTCATCTCAGAACACCTACACTGGCCGGAAGGAGAAAGAAGACTGCTGATGATGGGGAGAGACGGGGAGGGGGACGGAGGACCGAGTTGGAGCCAAGCTGGGATTGAACATTTGCTGTAGCTAATCCACGTGTGAATACACTGCAGCTAATTGTATGCAGTGTAAATACCTTGACAGCCTGTTTGCCATGCCTGTAAATTCAGTCATCTCCTCCGCAAGTGAGCCCCGCCCTCGGCCTCTGTCTGATGATGGGAGGCAACAAAGAGAAGGAAAAGAGCACTAGGCGTGGGAGCCGCGTCCTGCCTTCCACTCCTAACCTCTCTAGGCCTCAGTTTCCCCAGCTGTCAAGTTGGGAGAATCCCAATCTCTCAGAGGGGTTGGGAGACGTAATAACAGCTG